CACATTTTTACATAATGCCATACTAGTAACTGTTGTATTCTGCTATCTTTCCTATCCTCTACTATCCCCCCTCCCCCCCATTTCTCTTTTTATCCCGTCTACTGTAATTCGTTTCTCTCCTTGTTTTTTTCCCCACAGTTTTAAGATTTCTTGTCTGCACCTCCATACCCTCTCTCTGACTTCCTTCTGGGAACTTCCCTTTCTCTCTGCCACATTCTAGCCACAAGAGGGCAGCAGAGGATGAGAAAACCAGGAGAGACTGCCTGGGTGGCCTTTCCATTGGCTACAGAGTGCTCTGGCATCTATGGAGCACCTTCTTGCTGGGTGCATGTTTTTCCTTCCTCTCTGAGAGGGAGTTTCCAAATGGTTCCAGTCATTCCTTTCTTTTTAAAAAATATTTTTTAGTTGTCAATGAACTTTTATTTTATTTATTTTTATGTGGTGCTGAGAATTGAACCTGATGCCTCACATATGCTAGGCAAGTGCTCTACCACTGAGCCACAACCTCAGCCCCACATGCCCTCCTTTTAAAGTTATGTATTTTTAACATGCAGCTAACAAATATGTACACATATTATTCAGCTTAAAAACCAAATAAATGTAAGGGTAAACTTTTTACGATAGAAGTTCTGATGTACTCTTTTCCTTCCCTTTTGCCCCCCAGGTACCTGGAGCACTCATAGCGTTGGTGACCCCAACTCTTTTAGGTTTATACTGTGCCTTGGGGGAGACCTGCTTCTGTCAGTGTTTGTCCTCGTGACCCAATGACCTTGGATAGCTTCCACATATTGTAGAGGCTCCATCCCTCAGCTCTAGAATGAGAACAGTGAGAACCACCTCATGGTATTGTACTAAATCATCATGGGAATGAGGTATAAAATGTTCAAGGTAAAATGACCCTCAGTGAATGGTGTGCCTAAGTATTTCTTGGTGGTTATTGGAGAGCAGAGGCCCTGGCTGTGCCTGGGGGGAGGAGTCTCTGTGACAGGAGAGAAACAGGGACTGCAGCATTCTAGGGACTGTTAGAATGTGCCTCTTGGGGCTGGACAGGGCCTCTCCTTCCCTGGGCCCCCCTCTACTTCTCTGAGGGGCAGAGGTCCACCTTTGAGACCTGTAGGCCTTTTCCATGACCCAGTTCTGAAATCCCTCCACTGGGACTCACCTGTTTCACGCTTGAACATACATGGGCCTGACCTACCTGGGGTTGGGAGGGTCAGTAAATTTTTCCCAGGTCACTGATGGGTCACACATGTGGTCAGTGCCTGTGCTGGCTTTGTGCTCCTTCCTTTTTATGGCAGCTTTCTCTCAATTGGCTGTCTTTCCTTTTAAATTTTTAGTTATTGTTTGCTTCACTCAATTTTCTATGGGCATGTATATTTTTCACACTCTGTTCTCATTCCCTTACCATTTTCTATCTCAGGGCTTGAGTGGGAGTGATATTTTACGTTCCTGGAATCTCAGATGAGGAAGGGGGTGGATGCTCATGCAGAGGGTGGTGGGGCAGGTGCTCCAGCCAGGAGGGATCAGCAGCTGAACTCAGTGGGATGGCTGGGCCAGGCCCTGACTCCAATTAGAGAGAGAGAGGCCTAAGGGTTCTCTCAGCCACTTCTGGTTAGACATTTCAGGATGTGTTCAATCCACAGTATGAACAGAATTGGGGGTCTGGGGAATTAACTACTTTATATCAACTGTCACATTTTAGAATCCCAATGCACTTCATACATTTTACATTAACCATTGTTTTTTTTCCGAAGCTATTTGGAAAACACTTAATATAGGAAAAGGAAGAGGTATTTATTACATGTTGGTCATAAAAGAAAGTTAATATTAACCTCATTAGTATTAGGATCATTTAAGTTTGTACATGAAAAATTATTTGTGGTTTAGTGAATAGTGTTTCTTGTCAAAGCAGCTGAATGGTGATCCTGATGAGCTGGGAGAGGACAGTGGTGAGGTTCGGTGTCCCCTGCCAGTGCTGGTCAAGGATTCTGCCAGTGTTCTTTAAGGAGACCTGACCTGCACTTTGTCACTGCTTCCGCCCCCTCCTCCCCAAATGGAAGGCAAAGTGCACCTTGGGAGGGAGAATGCTCAGGTCAGGGTGAGATAAGCTTTCTGGCTCTGTAATTGAGGAAACTGAGAGTCCAAGGTCCCTTTCAGGATCTTGCTCACTTGAGTTACCTGGGGCAGGGGGCTGGGCTGGGCTGGAGATGTGGTGGTGGGAGGCAGTCTCCTGGCACATCTAGCCTCTCCCTCCTCTAGGAAGTTACTAGAATGATGTTATCAGATGGCAGGGCTCATGGCTTTATCTCTTCAGTTGTGATAATGAGATGGCATATGTAAAATTTAAGTAGCACAGTTTTTCATACTTAGTTGGGATTCAATATAATTTTGTTTTCTTCTTTTTGTAAGATTTCCCTGACATCTGTAGGCATTAGCAAGTCTGCCCTTTGGGCAGGGATTGGTGGTGGTGGTGGCATTACATTGTTCTGCAGTGTTCCAGGAAAATTGTGGAACACTCTTTTTGCTGCTCTGCTCTGCTGCCTTCTTCCTGGTGAAGGGAGCGATGTCCACAGGGCAGGGCACACTCTGTCCAGGCTCCTTTTGAAGCTTTCACTTTAGATGGTGGAAGGAGCCAGAGAGGGGTTTCTCCTCTGACTAGTAGGGCTTAGTGGGGGCCCAGTGTCAGAGACTCTGCAGAGATCACTGCAATTAATGCCAAGCTCTGCTTTCCCCCTCTTCCTGGGGACCGAATGCTGCTTGGATATGAGGAGTTTGATCCCCCAGCATTGGACTCAGAAGCAGAAGATTTGGCTCTGAGAACAGCTCCAGGCAGGTGCAAATTCTGAGGGCAGCTTTGGGGACAGCAGGGGTCCTTGTGACTCTTAACTTTGTTCAGCTGCTGTGTTTAGAGATGCTCCAGGAAGTCACAGCCTTTCATAGGTGGGAGAACAGAGAAGCAGGTAAGTTGGCTTTGAAGACACCTGTGACCTAAGAGGAGGAATCCAGGGAGAAGCTGGTGGCAGGAAGAAGTTGAGGAATAGGTGGTACCAGAAGCAGTGGGGGTGGGTAGGTGGGACACTCTTGTTCTAGGAAGACCCAGGAGAAGGTTAATGAGGGTTTTTCCTTTATTCATTTGTTTTAATAATATTTCTTTAACATTTTCTTGGACTAGGCTCTGTTCTAATTACATAGAGTGACTGTAAATTCATGTCATTTTCATTACAAACTTGGTGGAGAGATGTTGTAACTATGCCCATTATACAGATAAGAAAACTGAGGCCAAGAAGGTCACATTGAGAGGGCAGCCTACAAGTTGGCTCCCAGAACTTGTCCTTCTTTATACCACAGACTGTCTTCTCTCTGCTTCTTCCAAATGGTAGGTGATTTGGGATCTTTTCTCTGACCAGAGCTCTTTTACCTCTCTGCTCTATCTCCAGGAAGGGTACCTTACCTCTCAGGCAGAAATCTTTCTCAAAGAAAATGAAGGCAAGGGCAAACCTGTGTGTGGTGATGTGTGTGGCCAATGAAGCACCATGTCCTGAGCCCACATTGGAAGGGACTGGGCTGAGATTCAGGTTTAGGGGAACTCCACATCTAAAAACTCCCAGGACAGGGTTCTGGGCTCCAGTGATGGTCACCACAGCCTCCTTGAGGATGTGTCTGTCTCTGACACTGCCCAGGCCAAATGTGGGCATAATTAGGGGGCAGAATAAGAGGGAAGTAGGAGCTGGATGTCTTTTCTGATGGGGACCCTGAATCTGGGCTCTCTTTTCTGGGGGTCATGAGTGAATAACAGGGAGATAGAGGAATGGCTTTCACACAGAGCTCCAGGTATGGGGAAAGGAAGAGCCTGGTGTTCTGGGCCGAGTAGAGCTGCTCTGTGGTTGGGGTGGGAAAGGAAAGAATATTTCCTTACCAGGGAACTCTAATGGTTTCCTGGTCTCACATCATTCCCAGAAGAGCTGGAAGGAGCCCAGGCTCAGTTGTTTGTCAGTGTCAGGGTTGTGGGGGGCCCAGCACCCTGTTAGTATGATGTGCCAATAGGAAATGTTTGCTCCAGGAGGGGACTGCTGTCCATCCCTGAGCCCTGCTCTCTATGCTGAGGTGCTGGAGCTCTGGGCTGGACCTGCCTCCTGCCTGCAGGTCTTTTCCCTCATCCTCATCTCTCTCCCCAGCTCTAAAGATATGGAAGGGTGCTGCAGTTGCTCCTTGCTCTGCTCTCTCACTTCTCTGCTTCTCCTTGTCCAGCTGTCCATGGGTGAGTGTCTCCATATGTCTTCCTGTGTGGTTTTAAACAGCAAGATATAAAAATATTTGAAAATACATTTTCCCTCATTTTTTGTTTTCTTGCATTTTTTGGTGTTGCAAGCATTCATTGATTCAATTTATTCCTGAAATATTAATGATATGTTGATTGTTAAGTGCTATACTATGAAAGAATCAGAATTCTTTCATAAATTTTGCCTTCTAGCAGGAGACAGTGAGAAATAATTGCAGCTAGGCAGAGAAGCCTAAGTGTGTTGGAGGAGATGACTGTGATGGGATGTGCAGCAGGGCAAGGGGTGGTCAGTCAGGGGCATGGGAGGCAGGTGTGGGCAGGCAGCAGTGTTCAGTGAGGTGGTGTGTAGATGGGAACATAACTTTGGAGAAGGAGGAGTGAGCTGTAGGACCATTTGGAAGGAGGGTTCCTGCAGGGGGAGGAGCCTGTGCAGAGCTGGCAGTGTGCTGAGGTGTGAGGAAGCACAGAGGCCAGGGTTACTGACTAGAGCCCATGGGGAGAGAAGCAACAGGTGAGTTCAGAGAGGTCTTGGGAAAGGGGTCCACCTTGTCAGTCCTGGGGAGAATTGGGGAGCCATGTGGAGGCTTTGAGCACAGCAGCAACATGGATTAGTTCACATGTTAAAAGGGTCAGTGAGGTCAGGAATCCTAGTCATCCTCCAGTTGAGATGTAATGGTGGCTGAGACCAGAGTGGAGTGGCACAGGGCTTCAAAGTAGCTCTTTCAAGGCATTGCAGCATGTCCTGCAGAGGAGTCATGTGTTAGCCTTAGAAGCCCAAGAGCACCAAGGGGTGGAGAGTGAGATGAACTTGCTTCTTGAACATGCAGTAATGGGTGTTTCCGTGAATGATGACAGCAGGATTTTCACAGCAGTAAATAGCATTTGACTCTGTGTTTCAAAGTGCACATGTATTTCTCTCCTCCATCAGTAGAGAAGAAAAATATATACTGAAGTAAAAAATGTAGAAAGTGGAAGAGGGGGATTTTCTGGGTGTGGCTGAGTGACCAGAGTGCTGGTCAGGTGTGCTCTTTGTCAGTTTTCACATTTGTACTGGGACAGACCAGGTTAGAGCTGTTGTTCTCAAAGAGTGCTCCCCAGACCACCCTTGGAGTTTGTTGTAAATGCACATTCATTGACCCACCCCAGATCTACTGAATTAGGTACTCAGGGAGTGGGGTCCAGTAATGTGTGCTCTATAAGTCTATTCAGTTGAATTGGCTTTCTAAACCAGTCTGACTCCTCCTCTTCCACCCATAAGATGCATAAAAGCTTGAGAACCACTGAATTAGAGATTTCTTCATGCAAGGGCCTGGGACTAGGAGCATAGGCCAATGAGGGAATGTCTTTGGCATCATTTCTGGGCCACATCATAATGGTCAGATAATCTCTCCCAAATCCATCAAACCTCAGGGGTCATCTCATCTGGCCCCTGCCCCAGCTTTCCTGGCCTTCCCACCTGATGGTGTTGTTCTCTGTTTTTTGGTCTGTGTTTCTGTAGCTTTATCCCCCATATCTGTGTCCACAGAGCAGTTCCAGGTTATTGGCCCTGAACACCCCATTGTGGCAGTGCTGGGTGAGGAAGCCATACTGCCCTGTTCCCTAGTCCCAGCCATGAATGCAGAGAACAAGGAACTGAGGTGGTTCTGCACCACATTCTCCAAGCAGTGTTCATCTACTGGAACCAACGGGAACAGACTGAGGAGCAGATGGCTGATTATAGAGGGCGGACCTCACTGGTGAGCAAGTTCCTCACCCAGGGGCAGGCTGCAGTGCGCATCCACAATGTCCAGGTTTTTGACAATGGAATGTACATCTGCTTCTTCAGACATGGAGGCTTCTCTGAAGAGGCTGATTTGGAAGTGAAGGTGGTGGGTTAGTTACTTGACCTCTATTCTGGAGACCTTGGGAGTACTGGATTTGGTGGGAATATTAGGTGCCATCTAATTTACCCTCATATTTTATAGGTGAAATAGAGGAAAAAATGGCTCATTCATTTATTCATTGATTCAATACAATCACTGTCTATGGAGCATCTAAAATATGTGGGGACTTGTTCTGTGCACCAGAGACATTCAATGTAACAGAGATCCAAGCCTTGAGGAGGTCACCTTCTTAAATCAAAGGAAGAAAAATCATAAAAATAATTCAGTGCAAGATGTTATAAGGTGATAAGTACTTGAGAAAAAAGACCAAGTAGAACTAGATAAAGGGCTCAGGATGTGGTGAGAATTTAGGGCAGGCTGCAGTGTTACATAGAAGTTCAGGCAGAGTCTTATTGACAGTGTGAGCAAGACACAAAGAAAGTAGGTATTTAGCCAGGTGGATATCTGGGAGGTCATAATTTCATGCAGAGGTAGCACCTGGTATGAAACCTTTGAGTTAGAGGTATGGTTGATTATTCTGGGTATAATGAGGCCATCATGGTTGGTAGGCGGGATGAGGGGTCAGATGGTAAGAAGTGGCAATATGGAATAAAAAGATTGTCCTGTATTAACACCACTCACAGGTGTCAGGATGAGGTCATTAGGAGTGCACACCTGGGCTGGTACAAGAGCCCTGGATGTTGATGGGCTGGAAAGTCAAAAGGCAGAGGGCATACAACATGGTGATTATGGCTACTTGCATTTGATCAGATAGTTCTTGGGGTTGAGTGTGAGGGCCCTGAGGGTTTCAGATGATGGAGTTTGGGGAGAAGTATTGGAGAGGAAGGCAGTAAATGTCTTGTGTGCTGTGTTATGGAGTTTGGGTGCAGAGTAGGGGGAATCCTAAACAGAGCCATGCTGGGAATGCTCATGTTGGCAGCTGTGAATGGGAGGATTAGAGGTGAGCAAGGAGGAGGCCTGGAGTGCAGTTATGATTTGGAGAGAATGAGTGCCTGACCTGAGGCATGGCAGTGGGGTGGGGGAGGAGGGGTCAGACAGGTTTAGAAACTAGAGTCAACTGAGTAGATTTGTGGGCACAAAGTTTGAAAGGGAAAGAGAAAATTTGAGAGACTTCCAGAATTTTATTTGAACTATTTTTTTTTCTTGGCAAGACTATTGATAATTATGTGTCAGTTCTACTGCTGTAATAATGTTGTGTAACAAATAGCCACAATATCAAGTGTATCTGGCAATAAGAATGTATTTAATTCAGGCACTGAGGGAGTTCAATTAGTTGGGCCTGAACTTGGCTAATAATCACCTGGGTTTACTTATACATCTTTGGTCATGTTTCAGAAACATAATTAAAAGCAAAATCTCCCATGCTATGAGAAAACACATTATTTCTGAATAAGTATCAAACCAAAATATGATACATATAATGGTGCTTTTGCAAAGGGAATATACAACCAGAAAGGAATTTCATCTTTCTTTTTATAGCCAAGCATATATAATATCTTGTATACTTGTTTTCAAGATGAACAATAAGTAATTCTCAACTAAGAGAGCTCAAAGCAGTATTTGTTCTACATAACTCATCCTAAATTTACCTGGTAGTCTGGGAGACCATCTGGTTCATCTAATAGGCTTTATCTGGAAGAAAAATAAATTTCTCTAGCTTTATGACAGGAGGTAGTTTTACAACTTAGAGCAAGATGCCCACATAAGTTAGGCTCCTATCTTTCCACAGAAAAGGGGCAAAGGGTTGCCATCTTCCCTGATGTTTACATTTCAATGAAATGGTTCCCAGGTCCTTGAAAAAGACACTCCTGAGATACAAAGCTGGCAAAATCCTAGCCAGTTTTCAAAATCATGTATAAACATTTCAAAAGAGGAGAAAGTACCTATTTGTAATTGCAGTTTCTCAAAGCAAATGCTAGAAGAAAAAGTGGAGAATCCTCTTTTATTCAACAGGGAGAATTAAGCTTTTTACTTGTAATTTTTATTTGTTCTTAAGTCAGCTGAAAATGTCACCAGGTGCACCTTAGTTGGGTGTGCTCACATTTCAGGTGGTCATGTGGCTGACCTAGGGCATCTGTAGCAGGTTGACCAGGCAATGTTACATGAGTCCATCCTCCACTGGGCAGCCCAGGATTGTCCTCCTGTGGAAATGGCAGAGGGTAAAACCAAGGTGCAAGTGCTTTTCAAACCTCTGCACTAATCACATTAGCTAATTTCTCACTGACAATTTGAATCCCATGCCTGGGCCCTGAGGCAGAAGGTAAAGGCAGTAAAAAGTGTGTGGAAGTGGGAGAATTGACTATAAAGAAGGGTTATTTTAATAATCATTTTATTACAAGTGGTGCAAATTTATTAATTCAGTTGTGGAGTTTTAAGTTTGAAGTGTATGTGAGGAAACCTGGTAAAGATAACTCATGGGGACATGGATGGAGGGGAAGAGAATTCAGGAGACAAGGTGGTCACTGAATACAATTTTGGACATGATATACCTAGAGAGACAGATATCCCAGGAGAGTGTGTGAGGTGAGAAGACTGGAGATTCAAGGAGGGAGTCTTGGGACCAAATACTTCCTGTTTGCTTTGGGCCTCACTATTTGGGAGAAGAACCCACTGCCCTGTGTGGGTCCCTGTGCTCCTTCCTTTTATTCCCTCTTCCCATAGAACTCCCAGAATTGAACATGAAAACCTTCCCCCTGATGTTGTATAATGTCTTGGCAACACTGAGGACCCAGGGCCCAAGGTGGCCTCCTGGGGCTCCATAGCTTCCTTCCCACAGGGATGGGCTCTGACCCCCAAGTGCACATAGAAGGGTCAGAAGAGGATGGAGTGCACGTGGTGTGCAAAGCCTCAGGATGGTTCCCAAAGCCCCAGGTGCAGTGGAGAGACCTCAGTGGAAAAAAGTTTCCAGCGCTTTCTGAGGCCCACACCCAAGACACTGAGGAGCTGTTTAGTGTGGAGGCCACTCTGGTGGTGAGAGACAGTTCTGTGGGGAATGTGACCTGCTCTGTCCTCAACCCTATCCTGGGCCAGGAGAAGGCCATGGCTATTTACATCCCAGGTCAGTGCTGCTTCCCACTCCCAGCAGAGCTGTGGGGAGGGCTGGCCTCTCTGAGTGTGCTGGCTCTCCTGGGTGTGCCCCTGACCTGCTGTCTGCCTGGGCCACAGAGCCCTTCTTCCCTCAGGCTTCTCCCTGGAAGCCAGCATTTGCTGTGATCCTGACCGTGCTGGGGCTCCTACTCTTGGGGGCTAGCTATTTAATCAGAAAAGTACATTCCAGAAGGATGCAGGTGAGGCAAAGAAAGGAGCTTCTGCAGTGGCTTAAGAAGGATGAACAGCAGAGAAAGAAATTGGTGCTGAAGGCCATTGGTAAGACCGCAAGGAGCAAGTGCAGACCTTGTGGTTTGTTGGACAGCTGACGGGGGCCAGAGTCTTGGGTCCAGCTCTCTAGGGAGATCTGGGGTCCTGGGCCTAGAGGAGGTGAGTGAGGAGATCATAGAGGAGAGCTAGAGTCTGATGGTTTTGGGTGGGTGTGTAGGTAGAAATTCTAGTATCTAGTATCAAAATTTTTTTCTTGGGTTTTCCAGGCACACAGACTTTTCTTTTCTAGGGGATGGGCGTTCACACTGTTTTTCATTTTCTTTCAGATGGACTCCAGGCAGATCTCAGTAAGTTCTTTTCTCCTGCTGAATTTTCTGTGATTCATTGGTAGCAGACTTTCTAGTTCTTACTTTCCTTAATTCCTATGTTGTTTTTTAGGTGAGAGGAAAGCTGCTTATCTGTCTGGTAAGTGACTCTCCTGGTATCCTTTGTTTTCTTATCCTGCCTGTGACCTGGTGTCCCCTTTTCTTGTCTCTATCTAAGCACAGACATGTGGGTCCCTATCCCTGGGAGGCTAATTGGAAGCTAGTGGAAGCCAGAACACTGCTCCCTGAGCTTTCCTAGATCTGGGCTGCTGTTTCCTACTTAGCACTTGGAAACTTGTGTGTGATGGTGACCCCTCATCTGTTATATATTCTGCATCTTATTTCAACCCTGGCTTGCCCATTATATTGTGCAGAAAGCCATCCATGAATTACTTGAGGTCTTCTCTAGGTATGGCAGCCAGGGAGGTTTTAGATTTAAACTTGGGAATTATTCTTGGCTCTTCCATGCAACTGGTTGCACAAGGCACATGACCTTTATCTCAGCCCTCCTAGGAAGATTCCTCATAGTAGCTCTGGGGATGGGTGTAACCCATTGGGAACCAGACAGCCCACCTATAACTTTTTTGTTGAAGAACATTCTATGGAAGGCCTTTGATGTTCCCCATTATAAAAAATTCAAGCATTTGCTCCATTTTGCCTTTTTAGTATAGAAGCTCCATTTGTATGCTCAGCTAGCCCATCCTGTTCCCTCTTTCTGAAAATATTTTATGTGTCCTGTGGTGTTTTTCGTCATTTCATTTTACTTAGCTTTTATATTTCAGCCAGCCCATTCCACCCAGGGGAACCCCATTCCCATCACCGTTGTGGGACATCTGTGAGAATATTGTTTTTTAGCCTTCGATGAATCTAGCTTTTGGTCTACACTAGAAGCTTAAAGGCAGATACTAAGATATCATTAAATGATCCATATACAGAAATGGAGTCATTAAGTTTAGGAGTGTAACCTTCTGTTCATCTCCCAACAAATCACCATTTAGGGATTATGTTTTCTGCAGCTACCAAAGGTGCTAATCCAAGTGGGCTGCTCACCACAGGTGGGAATTCTACCACGCGGCCTGTGCAGTGGTTTCATTAATGAGGTTCTAGGCATAAAGTTAGTTAGAAGAGATCGAAATAAAACACAAGACTCAGTTACCTTATTTCTATTGCTAGGTCCGAGATGGCTCCCCTCTGGTTCGCTCTTCTAAGCTGCCCAGCAGGGCAGCAGGGATTACTCAGGGCTAGCAGAAGAGAGAGCGAGAGCACACTGGGGACTAGCCTTTTATTAGGGAACAAGAGATTTAGGGGAGAATTCCATCCAATGAAGGTTGAGGGGGGGCTGCACTCCAAGGTCAGGGTCAGTGATTGGGTCCCCGGGGTCAGTGGTCAGGCACACCCCCACACGGATGGGCTCTCTCATCAGGAAAGGGTTGGGAAAAACTTCGACTTAGCCAAAGCGCCTCAGGCCCTTAACGGGAGCCGCCCAATCACGTGTTAGAATAGCTTCCCACAGGGAATGTGATAGAGTGAACCAAGTACTTCCTGAAATAATGGTTCTTATTCTCTAGAAATATTTCGCCTGTTAAAAGTTGGGCAGTTTTACCCCAGAACTCACCTCACATTCCTGTCTTTAAATTATTCTTCATTTTTGGTAATTTCCCTAATGTCTTTTTTTTTTTTAAAGAATGACTTTTTTATTTTATTTATTTATTTATTTATTTTAAGAGAGAGTGAGAGAGGAGAGAGAGAGAGAGAGAATTTTTAATATTTATTTTTTAGTTCTCGGCGGACACAACATCTTTGTTGGTATGTGGTGCTGAGGATCGAACCCGGGCCGCACGCATGCCAGGCGAGCGCGCTACCGCTTGAGCCACATCCCCAGCCCCTCCCTAATGTCTTTTTAAATTTTTATTTTATTTTTTTCATTTGTGGTGCCGAATTGTGAACCTGGTGCCTCCTGCATGCTAGGCAAGGCCTCTACCATGGGATACATCCCCACCCCTCTCCCAAATATATCTTTGCCAGAAAAAGCCTGGATATAATAATGACTTCTGACAATTGTGGAATGATTTATATTTTATTCTCTCAAATATTTCCATGCAGAGTATAATTTTTATCCTTAGCATCAAAACTGAATAAATATAGACAGAGTATGGATTTTTATGAGTTTTGAGACAGTTTTCTGATGGAGAGAAAGCAGAGGGACAGTGGTAGAAGTTGGCCTGTAAAGCAGCCGTCTTGATCTGTGGTCCAGGGCATTTCCCACAACACCCCGTGGTTCCTGCATACTGCACGAGGCCATCTCCTTTCTGGCTCTCTCCTCCTGTGGGTAGTCTCATCTTTAGAATGGAGGGGAGGCCAGGACAGGTACATTCATGCTGAGCAGGCTTGTTTTAGCTGTGGTCTCACCACTGTGTGTTCCCTTTCAGCCTGGAGGAAGGCCCCCCTGTATGCAGGTACGTGACTCTGATGTTTCCTTGCCCTTGCTTCCTCCAGGATCCTCCTCTGCCCTTCTGTATCAGTGGCCTCCACCCAGGATGGGATGGGTTTTCCTGTTCTCTCTTCTCTAATTTGTTTCCCACCCCTCCCAGCAAATACTTTTAATTTCTCATGTTTTTCCCTTTCCTAATCATCACACATTAATCTGTCCCCTGCCCAAATTAACCAAAAGCCAAGCACAACAGGAAAGCAAAATTCTCCAAAATGGAGAGAAAAATGATTGTAACTTGTACTGGAAGACCACAGAGACTTCTCTTTGAGATTGGACCACAGAACTCACCTCACATCCCTGTCTTTTAATCATTTTTTATTTTTCCTAAACATTTTTTTTTTAGTTGTAGGTGGACACAACACCTTTATTTTATTTTTTGTGTAGTGCTGAGTATTGAACCCAGTATCTCATGCAGGCTAGGCAAGCACTCTAATTCTGAGCCACAACCTCAGCCCTAAATCATTCTTCAATTTTGGTAATTTCCCAGATGTTTATAAAATTTTTACTTTATTTTTATTCATGTTGTGGTGCTGAGGAGTGAACATGTTCTAGACCCATTCTCCCCTGCAGGTTAGTGTTCACATACCCCCTGAAAACATTGGGTTCAACTGGTATTTGTTGTTGGTGCAGTGACACTGGAGAGTTCAGTTTTGAGCAGAACCTGGTTAGAGCAGGGTTGGAACTGTGTAAATAGGAATTGCTGGTCTCCATGAAATTTCAGAAATCATATTTGACAACTTAGGACTTTCATTTTCCTAATGTGGGACCTTGATTCTATATTACCTTTACCCCAGATTTCTATCCTTTGGGTCCAGGTTTTTGGTTTTCTTGTTTCTTTCTTGTCCTCTGGATATTGGTCTTCTCTCAGCCCCCTCATACTGTGACTTGCTGTCTTATATAGGTTTCTTCTAAGCACTTTTGTGACTGAGAAATGAGTTTCTGGTGTTCAGAATTTGGGGTCAAGAATGCTTAGGGGGTCTGTGAACTATTTGAAATTAAATGCAAAGTTCTGTGTTTGTGTTTACATTACAGGAACAAAATGTAAGTTATGGTGTTCACAACAATTTTCTCTGCATTTAAGAGAATTTTGCTTTGCCTGTTGGCCTTGGTCTTTGATGCTTTTTTTAATGTGTGAAGATTATAAAAGGAGGAACCTGAAGAATTTAAAATTGTTTCTCTGAGAAAGGATTGGGAATAAATCAGAGAAGAAAGGATGAGGTGGACAAGATTGGAGGTGAGAAGGAAAGTAGAGTGCCCAAGATTCACAGTGAAATTTTGGTTGTGCTGAAGCAGTGAGAGTTGAAAAATAGCATCCAAGATGGTTTGAGTTGAGTGTGAAGAGAATTTGCAGGCTCTTTGTGTGCATGAAATGTGTCCAACTCCTTGATACATCTTTGAGAATTTTCAGTGAATACGTGTGTGTGTGTGTGTGTGTGTATGAATTCCATTAAGCCATTCCTAAGTAATCATCTCATTGAGTTTGCCTGTGATAATGAGACCACCTCCACCTTCCAGCAGCAGATAGGTCAGCCATATGATAAGGCAGTTTCCATTGCAATGAAAGATTATCCAGAGGACCATTTAACTCTGGGGGTTAGTTTAGGACCTGTGTCATCTGAGTTTGTATAATATGCCCTTTTCCTGCTCTGGATGTTTCTTTTTCACATCAGGGATATAGGCTCTGAGTGACAGAGAAGGGTGAGTCATGGCATCAAGGAGGCTTTGGATTCAGATGTGTGAGGAACACTCTTTGAAAATCTTAATGATTTTCTTGTGAACATGTTTATTATAAAATAAGGATCAAATAGTCTTTTTTACCATCTCCCCATTCTCTGCTGAATTAATGTCTGTATGTTTTCATGTATAACTTGCATACTCTTTTATTTTGTAATTCTATGTACACTATGGTGTAGTAAACACCATTACTACACTAGAATCAACACTCTCTCCCATCCTAAACCCTTTCCATTGCCACATAACTTGGCAACATTTTCATATTTACAGGTCCACAGTGTAAGGTGGACAAATGTCTGATCTCATCTTGTTCATGAAATTATAACAATGAGTTTTAAATTAAAATTTCTGTGGGAAGTATGTAAAGAGTACATTAAGGCAATAGCATAGTACTTGACACACTGGAAAGTTTCAAAAGTTTTTTTCTTTCACTCCTTCTCCTTTTCTCCCCTGGCTGCTTCCTTTTTCTCTCTTTTCTTCTTCTTTGATAATCTCAGTCAGTTATTATATGTAAAATTTATAATAAGATACCAACTAATGTCTTGGTGAAAAGTGAGCAAAATTTACTTTTATCTCAGGATTATCTGCATTTGCTCAGTCATTTTATATGATCTAGTTTCTATGAAGCAACTCAACAGAGATGGAAATACCAATGTATCTGATTGAACTTGTATTAGTGGAAATGGAGGGCACAAATTGAAACACATATCTTTAAGAAAGCAAAAATGTTGTTTAGTTATTATTTTAATTATTCTAATCTTGTTCCTGAGGCTCTTTCCTGTTGGAGGCAATAGCTTTCCAGTTGACATTTTGGAGTGTATGGCATATGTAGACTTTGCTTTGGTCAATGACCTTCATATCTTCTTCCCAAAAGA